ATACGAATGTTCCATTAATTTTGGATCATCATCTGATGGTTCACAATAGAATTCACTTTGCATGACATAGAATTCCTTATCTACTTTTGGTAATCCCTCTTCTGGCTCAACTAACATTAATCCATACATGCCATTACTTATGTGTGAAGGAACTGGACCTGCAGCACAGTGATAGATAAATAAACCTGAAGTTAATAATTTGAAAAATCCTGTTTTTTCTTCATCTTTTTCAGCCAATAACATTTCTGCACCTCCTCCTGGTCCTGTCACACAGTGAAAATCAATATTGTGAGCCATACCGGTTTCGTCCAAGTTTAGGTAATTGACTTGCATGACATCTCCAACTCTTGCTCTGATAAATGGTCCAGGAACTGTTCCATTAAATGTCCAATATGGATACTTGTACTGTTTGCTGATTGGTTTCACTTCAATTGTGGTATCTAGATTAACAACTAATTGAACTGGATAATCACGGTCAATTGGTGGAGGAATTCCAGGAGCTTTTGTTAAAATTGCTTCAACAACTGGCAACTCCAAATTTAATTCAGGAGCTTTCTTGAATTTCTTCATCATATTTTCAGGAAACAAACTATGTTTCTTTTGTGTTTCTTGTGCTTCAAGTAAACTATCACATTGGTATTTGTAGTATTGATAAACACCTGTTCCAACAGCACAGGTTAGACCTAGGGATAATGCAATGTCAAAAGTCTTTGGTTTGACAGTTCTTAGTCTGTGGAACAGTTTCATTAGTGTTGTATTGTTATTTTTTAATTGAAATGTTGAATAAGACTTTTTTTATGATTCTTTGAATTTCCATTTGTCCTCAAACATAATCCCATTACTGTGGTTACGCAATGAAGTGCAAGCAATTCTACAATGAAATGCAAGCAATTATTTTTTGAACTGCAACGAATAATTTAATGAATTGAAAGTTTCTTGAACCACAATTCTTAAAATAGATCAAAGAGAAGTCACACTGTAAGATCAAGCTGTAGTTCTGCTTGTTTCGAATATTGATAATGAATTTGTTTATTATATAAGATATTTTGTATTGTTATTAAGATGATTGATCACTCTTCATGTTCATTGAATTTTCTTTCCGAAAATTGAATCCTCCCATGACTCATTAAATAATTCATCTAATTCTTCGTCATAATCGCCAAGCTCAATTTTAGAGCTCTTCTTGGGTTCAGATTGAAAACCTTCTGATTCCGAAAGTGGGCTTTGTGGTTCAAATTCTACTACATGTAAATGTTGCAATCTAGCAACAAGTATAGCTCTGTAATTTGAAATAGAAAATGGTTTGGTCATAATATCGACGGCATCAGATAGTGAAAATCCTGCTGAAAGAAAATCCATTAGTAATACACAATAATCACCACAATGATTTCCATCCACTTGAATTTTTTTTTGTAATGTTTTTCGAACAGTCTTTGGTTTTACAATAAATGATGGCAACATTTCAAATAATTCACTAGTCTCTGATTCTATCACTGAAAAATCCTTAGCGAAAGAATCAAAAAGAAACCAATCAGTGGATTGACAATCATAGATTAGTAAGTACCAGTGTAATGATCTTGCCACAGGAAAAATTATAAATCCTTTTGATGTAAATTTCATACTCTTTGGTAAGTTTGTTTCTATGAATTTTTTGGATTGGTTAGTAACTCTTTGAGAGAAATCAGACGGTATGTATTGTAAATATTGTGAGCTGATTTTGGAAAAACAAATTCCAAATATATCAAAAGTATTTCCAGGTAAGAATACAGTGTCATCTTTGATAGTCTCCAATGCCTCAGTAGATAAAGTGATTGAACAAGCAATTGTTTCTGTTGAAAGAACGTACAATTGTAGATTGGCAGCATTTTGTTGGATGTTATAGTTAAATTCTGTTTTGTTTTGTATGTGAAGTATTATTTTAGATATTTGTTCTACCTGTTTTTGGTCAAAATTTTCTTTCATGGAATCACTATCAATCCAAGGATTGTTTACATCATCTAAGATGGGATCTTGATCTAATTTCTCATCTGTCTCTACCTTAACTGATGGTGTAGGTAGTTCTACATAGAATTGACCAATACACATAGGATTAAATTCTCTGATATATAAATCATACAAATCATTATTCATTTTCAGTGAAGCTCTGACATACTTCAAGTATTCCTCTTCTGAATCATAATTCCAAATATCCATTAAACATTTTCTAAAACTGTTTACAATCACATCTGGATTCATGTTAGAAATAATCTGCTCAAATGCTGCATTTCTTGATTTTCTATCAGAATTAGAATTATTCTTTTTCCAATCAGCTAATTCTCTTTTTGCATATCTGAAACACATATTATCCAATGGTGATTGATGGTGCCCACCTACAGGAAGTAAAATGTTAATTCTATTATGTTGTTTCAAAATCTTTTGAACTGATTTACACTTATGATGAGAGAGATTATCCCATAATAAAATGTCTCCTTCTTTTGAATTAGGAATATAAACTTTTTCAACCCATTGCTCAATATGTTCAATATGAACACCAGCAATTTTTTCCTCAACAGTTACCTTATTACCATTAATAGTTGATTTCTTTCCTGGCACTGACTCAACAATAGACACTGGTAATACACCTCCTTCTGCCGTTACAGCAACTAAAAAAGTATCCTTAATATCATCAGCCAATTGTAAAACAACTGCATCATCGTCCTTGATTGGAGTATTTGTTCTTTCCGTCGCCTTAGTATTTGTTCCAGTTTCATCAAAAACCACAATTTTACTTCTATCAATGGATTTTAAATTTCTAAACATTATTGCTGCATAGAAGCAATAATAATAGTAGGTTCTATATAATTGCTCATAAGCTGTTTCAATTCTTTCTCTCTTGGTAATTGTTGTTTTGATCTTCCTTTTATAAAGAAACTTCTTGGAAAATTTGGAAATATAATCTACTGAAGGTGTTTTCTTTAATCCTGCAACTTCCTTCATTATTTCTCCAAGTCTTATATTACTAACTTGTTTTTTCTCACTCCGTTCCTTACGAGTAATATCAATAACCTGTAAAATTTGGTCTTTCAATAATAATGGAGGTGGGTGACCACGTTCAACCTTTAATGTTAGTTCATTCCTCTTGCATGCCGATAAATATCTGCTAAATTGTGAAGGTGAGATATTATTTTGTTTAGCAAATTCCTGTTGTGATCCACGGTCGGGTGTTGAATATTGTTCTTTATACTTCTCAACAAGTTTAATTTGTTCTTCTCTTGTTTTTTGAACATAACCAACTTTTCTTTTGTTTTTAAACCCTATCAATACTATTTTATCATCAGGATTTTCCTTTTTTTCTGTCTCCTCCAGGTTTACCAGTTTTGCTTTCTTTGCTTGACTTTCATTGTATGTTTCTTGATTCCGTTCAACAATTAATAGGGCTTTTTTTTTGATGTTGTCTTCGAATGACTCATCTCTTTCATCCGTCTCTTCCTCAACAGAAGAACAAATTCTAGTTACCAATTTTGCTACCAGAGCATCTTTTCTAAGATTACCTCCTGTCTCTCCAAATTCACTCTTCAAAAACTCCTTCAAAAACTTGACATTTTTCATTGTCAATTGATCACGGATTGCCTCTTCCACATTCTCAAACTTTCGTTTTGTTCCTTTTTTTAGCTTCTTTGGTTTTTCTTCTTTTTTCTTGCCTGGTGTTTTTTCATCTTTCTTTTTACTGGGTGTGTTATCTGGTTGATCTTGTGTACAGGTCCATGAAGGAACTTGAGATACTGAAGGTAGCAAATCTATTAAATTGCTATAGCTGGAGAAGCTTTGTGGTGAAGTGTCATAGCTACTCGATTGCTTGTTTGACATTTTATAAATTTATTGCTTCTTCTGCTGATTGGAAGTTTTGATGTGTGTTTTGCAAGTTTCTTGATCAAAGTGGAAATTTATATTTAGACTTTCTTGCAGTTCGTCAGCAAGTAATTGTACTACATTGTAGAATTGCTTGCAGTTCAAAAAATAATTGCTTGCATTTCATTGTAGAATTGCTTGCACTTCATTGCGTAACCACAGTAGTACAGAGAACGGCTGTTTTTTAAAATATATAAAAAAGGTTCTGAGCGATGGATTATGATTTATTGGATTATGAATTGATATTTAGAGTATTTGGATAATTGGATGTTGCTCATTGTTAAGTTCAGTTTAATTTTTGATTAATTTGAATTCAAAAAATTGGCCAAGTCTCCAGGGAATCGATCTCGTAGGATTCTGGTGTTGTTGGCTTGTTGTTTATTCAATTCAATGACAAACTGTATGGGGTTCACATAAAAAATTCCCAGAGATGGGTTGAGCTTTGCTTAATTGCTTGTGCATGTAATGAATAGTTACTGAAA